CTCCGACGCCGCCGCACCCCTCCAAATCTCTCATCCTCCCTCCGAATCTCGGCGTCTCCATCCATCAGCAAGTGATCCCGTTCCCACCCATGGCCCTCCGCGCGCTCGACAACACGCTGCCGGCCGCCGTGGCGGACCAGCGCCCCAAGAAGGCCGCCAAGCTGCTCTCCCCCACCGGCAGCGGCGGCAACGGCAGGAAGCAGCAGCAGCGCAACGACGAGAACTCGGCGCCGCTGACCAAGCCCGCGTCGCCTGTGGCGGCGGCCGCGGCGGAGCCGGCCGTGGAGTACGTCCGGTCCGAGGACCTGCTGCCCGTGCCGGCGCCCAAGGCCCGCGCCGCCGGCCTCGTGGCGGGGCTCGACTCCAAGGACTGGGTCAAGGTCTGCGAGGCCCTCAACGACGCCCGCCGCCTCGCCATCCACCACCCGGCCCTCCTCGCCCCCATCCTGTAAGCTCCTCTCTGTCTCCTCCGATTTTGCCTGTTAATTTCTGTCGAATTCCGTTCTGGATCTGATCTGAGATCCCTTTGGTTAATGGCAGGGAGAAGGTGGTGCTGGGGATCGTGAAGACGATGAAGAACCCGCGCAGCGCGGTGCTCAAGACCTCCGTCATGGCCTGCACGGACGTCTTCACGGGCTTCGGCAACCTCATCTCCTCGGCGTCCGCGGACGCGTTCGACAAGCTGCTGCTGCAGCTGCTGCTCAAGGCGTCGCAGGACAAGCGGTTCGTGTGCGAGGAGGCCGAGAAGGCGATGCGCGCCATGGCCACCTCCATGCCGCCCCTGCCCCTGTTGAGGAAGCTTAAGTCGTACGTCCACCACGCCAACCTCAGGGTCCGCGCCAAGGCCGCCGTCGCCATGGCGCACTGCGCAGCCAGGATGGTACGTACCGCTTGTCGACTCAAATCCAGGCAGCGGAACTCGCTCTGTTTGTTTTATTTTCCTCACCCGCGAATCATGTGTGAATTGGCAGGACGTGGAGACGATGAAGGAGTTCGGCCTGCCGGCGCTGCTGCAGGTGGCGGCCGAGCTGCTGAACGACCGGCTGCCGGAGGCGCGCGAGGCCGCCCGCAGCATCGTCGGGTCCACGCACGCCGCCTTCTTCTTCTTCAAGGAGGCCGCCGAGAAGGAGCAGGAGCAGAAGGAGAATGAGCTCAAGGAGGAGCAGGAAGAGGGGAAGGAGAATGAGAACGACGAGAAGGTGAAGGAGAGTGAGGAAGAGGAGGAGAAGAAGGAAGAGCCGTCGGCCGTGGCGGCAGCGTGGGAGAGCCTGTGCGCGCTGAGCCTGTCGCCCATCTCGGCGCAGGCCGTGGCCAAGATCGTCTCGCAGTTGCAGGCCCAATAATCAACTGCTCGATTCGATTGATCGCCGCGATTCTGTCCGCGATTCGTAGTGATGCATGCTATCTCGCATGATCTGCTGCCCCATGTTCTAGTAGCCTCAAATTATTGGTGTTTCCAGTTCCCCCGATATAAATTATCTATTATTATTACAGTCGAAGAAAACATGGTTCCCGTAGTCACGGGAGTAGCCATTTCCCGGAACAAAAAAAATGTGTCGCTCAGCAAATCCAGCAGCTTTTCACTGCGTCGCCGGAAAAAACTTTGACCCAATGTTCCAAGATAGCGTAGCTTCCGTCGAAAACGACGACGAGAAGGGATAAGAAGAGCTCCGTGTGCGTCCAATCTTTCAGCCAGCTCCGATCCAAACGCGTCGCTGTCCGGTGAGCGAGTGGTGATCCACGCGAGAGTGACCAGCTGGTGCGGTGCTTGCTTGCTTCCAGGAATCGGAATCCTCCTCCTCATCTTCTTCCTCCCCATATCCCCTGTCGCCCTCCGCGTTGGCGACGCACGTCTCCTGCTTTGCCTTGTCCTTGATGGACGGGGGCCAGAGCGTCGCCAAGCGGCACGGCGCGGCCGCGGCCGCGGCCGCCGGCGCCGAGGAGGACCCTGAGCGGCACCGTGCTCTACATGAGGCGGCGGATGATCACGATGGTGGCGACAAGAAGGCGCCTCGCCGGAGCAGCAGCAGGCGGGTCGCCTCCCTCGACGTCTTCCGTGGCCTCACCGTCGCTGTACGCAGCCCGGCCCCTTCCCCTTCCACACCAACACGACCACACCTGCTTAGTTCCTATGCCACAAGCAAAGTTTCGTGTCTGCCTGATCCAAGCTCTTCCAACCGTGCGTGTTCGTTTCGGTGCTGCAGCTGATGATACTGGTGGACGGCGCCGGCGGCGAGTGGCCGGTCATCGGGCACGCGCCGTGGCACGGCTGCAACCTCGCCGACTTCGTCATGCCCTGCTTCCTCTTCATCGTTGGCATGGCCATCCCCCTATCCCTCAAGGTGTTCCATTCTTACTCTGAACTCTATTCTGAAATGTACCACTTTTGTTGGTTCAGACTGCAATGACCAGCTGAATTTTCAAGTTTCCCCTTGTACGTATATACTCTACTAGATAGGTTCGTCCAACCATTGGCTGTTCTTAACTTCGAATTCCAATAAACGCGCAGAGGATTCCAGACCGCAGCCGGGCGATCAGGAGAGTAGTCATAAGAACACTGAAGCTGCTTTTCTGGGGGATCTTGCTGCAAGGTATCTGATCATCTACACCCCAGTTAGCTTCTTAAATTCAGGGCCAACACCTGATGCTTAAATTCCCCTCTTTGCAAAGATGGAATTCTAACAAGTTGACAATGTCTCACCATATTCAGGTGGCTACTCCCATGCTCCAGATGAACTCACCTATGGTGTTGACATGAAGCACATAAGATGGTGTGGTATCCTCCAGGTACGAAACCACGCAAAATTTACTTTACATACTTGAAAAGAACGAATGCATACGTCAGGGAGTGATTTTGTATTTGCTTCTTCAGAGGATTGCCCTTGCATACTTGGTGGTTGCAGTTATGGAGATCGCAACAAAAGACGCGAGGGTTCAGGATCAGTCAAGTTCAGGCTTCTTCTCAGTTTTCAGGCTGTACCTTTCCCAATGGTATATGCTTTTTGATGTCATCTGAATTGTTAGGCATTGCAGATTTCACATACTGATTGTGGCTTCTGTTTATCTACAAGGATTGTCGCATGTTGCATTCTCCTGATCTACTTGTCCCTTGTTTACGGGATTTACGTTCCGGACTGGGAGTTCACGGTGCGAAATGTCGACAGCCCAAACTATGGCAAAGTTTTAACAGTATGAGACTTCAAGCTCTGTCATTTTACTTTCTTTATTTTCTTGTGAAATTGTTGATGTTCCATACTACTCGTTTGAGCGTAGAATTAATCTTGCATCGTATTGCATGTTTAATTAGTTGAGTCAAAGTTTGTATAGATACTTTGCGTCTTCAAAAACAATCTACTGACAAAATGATTTTGTAAACATATCGCTGGGCAAGCCCAGGAATCCTGCCATTCTTCACCATTTCTTGCCATGACAAGCTGAACAAACTACATTTCAACAGCAATGTATAACTCAGTTCTTTGTACTTCAGGTTGTTTTCATGTTAGTTAGTGATACTAAACAGAGTCCAATATACAAATCATACTCAAAACTGTGCCATGACAGTGTTATTGTTTTGCACCTGTACAATCAAAGTAGTTTTGTGAAAGTCGAAACTCATTTACAGTGTTGTCTGATTTATTAGGTGACCTGTGGCACAAGGGGAAATCTGAGCCCTCCTTGCAATGCTGTAGGTTACATCGACCGTAAAGTTCTCGGCATCAATCACCTGTACCAGAAACCTGCATGGAGGAGGCACAGGGCGTGTGTTTTCACTTTTCAGATAACAAAACATTCATGTCTGTCCTTTGCAGTTATTTCCAAACTCTTACCCGCCAACTTATGCACCGGTCTACGCAGGACTGTACTGATGATTCCCCACACGAGGGGCCTTTCAAAAGGGACGCCCCGGCCTGGTGTGCCTCGCCATTTGAACCTGAAGGCTTACTAAGGTAAGGTAGTATTCTGTGTGGTGTCAACGGGGGATTTCTGATCATCAGATGTATCTATAATTCACTGTTGAGTGTTGACACTGTTCCTTGTTGCTTTTGCAGCTCATTTTCTGCGGTGTTAAGTACGATCATCGGCGTACACTACGGGCACGTGCTTGTTCATATGAAGGTGATTTTTCCTCACATGTCAGGCTTTTTCTGTCGGTGTAGAGTAGGCTGCTGACTGTTGACATGTTTATTGTTCCTGAAATTTCAGAGTCACATGGACAGGCTAAAGCAGTGGGTCACCATGGGCATAGCTCTCCTCCTCCTCGGAATCATTCTGCACTTCTCTCATGGTAACCAGACTACATAGTACACATTCAACAAAAAAGAGTTACAACTCATACATGTTTCCACTCCTCCCCTATCTGAACACGATTCAACAAAGTTTGCTCTTTCACATTTCATTGCAGCGATTCCTCTGAACAAACAGCTGTACACGCTCAGTTACATCTGCGTGACCGCCGGCGCCGCTGGCATCGTCTTCTCCATGCTTTACTTCCTTGTAAGCCCTTCTCAATTTTACAAAACTAGATTTATTTCTTAATAATTAATGAACAATTGAACATCGGCAGAAAAAGAAAAAAAGAGAATATTCAAAATCCTCCATATGACAGCCTGACATCCTGAAAATTCAAATCTTCCATGGCTGACATCCTGAGCATCGTCGACGACAACATTGTTGACACCTGGTGGCTTCCCCAGGTCGACGTCGTGAGCCTGCGTTATGTCTTCGCACCACTGCGGTGGGTCGGCATGAACGCGATGCTGGTGTACGTGATGGCGGCGGCCGGCATCTTCGAGGGTTTCCTCAACGGCTGGTACTACGACGGGACCAACAACACGCTGGTAACTGCAACGAACCTGCCTGCCATCGATCGACCGCCTTCGGGCTTCAGCGCATGTTGAGAAAGAGAAATTCTGTCACCACGTACTGCAGGTTTACTGGGTGAGGAAGCACGTGTTCGTCCGGGTGTGGCACTCGGAGAGGGTGGGCATCCTCCTCTACGTCCTCGTCTCGCAGATCCTGCTCTGGGCGCTCCTCGCCGGCCTCCTCCACCGGGCCGGGGTCTACTGGAAGCTGTAGCGAGCCAGGAAGACATCGGTGTCACTGTTTGCTTGTGTGTGTTGGAACTTAGAATTGTGTAGCATCTGTGTAAGAAGACAAGAAACGAGAAGAAAAGATTGAAGGCTCACTGACTGCCCATTATGTGGCGAGCAGATGCAGAGCACACCTACCAGCGGGAGTGGGAGATCAAAGTCATTGACTGCCCATTACTTGCTATAACAAGTACTCCCTCCGTTTCAAAATAGATGACCCAACTTTGTACTACTAAAGCTAGTACAAAGTTGGGTCATTTATTTTTTAACGGAGGGAGTACGTACATTTCATAGAAAATGATAAGTTGTCGGTTTAGTCATTTGCTGAAAGGGCGCAAAAGGATTCCACCATGATCCCAGGCAGAAGCGGGAGTAAGCTTCAGAAAGCTAGAAGGCCTGCACCTGGTGAGATGTATGGTGAAGAGGTAAAGTAGTGTAGCATATGGAGTAAATTGTAGAAAACCACCACTTTGAAGGCAAGCTTTGCGAAAACCACTACAATACATTTTTTTTTTGCAAAAAACACCGTGTCTACCGTAATCTTTTTGCAAATAACACTGATCGGCGGATTTGCCTCTGTTGAGTATGTTTATGACAGATGGGGCCCGTCAGTCAGGCTGATGTGGCACCGCTTAACACCTCGCATGTAACGGCGATGTTTGGGACGTTATCCTCTTGTGTGGAGCCCTGTGGGGTCCACCTGTCACTGAAACAAAAAATAAAAAAAATCTGGTTCTCGCCTTATCTTCACCAGCTCGCTGCCGCCCGTCCTGCCCCCGTGGTCAACGGCGCATGCCCGAAGGCCCGCACCCGACGTGGTGCTCGAGCAAGGAGTCGCCGTCTCCTTCCTCAGCCACGGCGACCACCCTGCTCACTGGCTGCTGCATCTCCTACGTCGATGGCGGCTCGAGCGCAGAGGTAGCGGCACCAGCTGGATTGGAGCGGGGAGAATGGATCTGAGTGTGGAAGTCACCGGCGGCTCGGTTGCCGTCGCCCGTCCCGACCCCAACCGAGGCAAGGGCCGTCGTCGCTGTTTCCGCACCGAGGGGAGGCAGAGGACGCCGCCAGTCCCGCCCCCGGCCGAGGGGCAGCCTTCCGCCACGCGCCAAGGACGCCGTGCATCGCCGGGGTTGCCGACCTCATCCAAGTCCCGCCGTCGCTCGCGGCCGTCGCTCGCGGCGGAGGAGCATGAAACCGATGTATAGAGAGGGCGGCGACTCAATTCTTGCCGGATCTGGGTGAGGGCTGGTTAA